GGACGACGGGCGGCAGAGCCTGAGGGAGTTTAGAACCCGGGCGGGAATCGATGCCCAGGAACACCTCATCGCACTCGAAAAACAGGTACGTACGACGGGGTAAGAACAACATATTGCTGAAAAAAAGCACAAAATGTATCCCGCAGCTTCCTTTCCCACCTTCCTTCACTACTACTGAAATGAGAAGACATGAACAACTCCCTTCGACTGGTGTGCCGGTGATTATGCATATAATGTACTTTGCATGTTCTCTACCGAAGCGCAGCCAAGTCTTGCGGCATTACAATCGTGGCATGCACAGCAACACACGATTGGATCATCCATCACTTGACACGGACGTCATAACTACTGCAGGGAAACATAGTAAGACGGAACAACAATGCCACTCTCAAAACGGAAAGCTGCAAACACAGGACTTGTTTTCACCACGACTCTTAAGGCATAGCATTGCATAGCATAGCAGCATTTTTCCGACCACCATGTCAGTGGCCTCGGCTACTGTACTGCTGTTGCATGCTTGCCTTCCAAGTGTTTGCCGCTAGGGTGCATGTAGTCTCTTTGCTGTCTTCTTGAGCGATACCCGTGAGCCAAGAGGGCACGTTCGTGGTACACGCCAACACCAGATGGGGTGGAACTACGATGCCAATGTAACGTGGTTCAGTGCCATTGGCTATCTACCGTTAGGGCTGAAGCAAAGATGCTTCCCGCTACAGTACAGTGCATTCTCGTTCCTACGGCGCCATCATCATGTTTGTCGCTCCGACGGTGTCCATGCGTCTGCGAACATAGCTTCCAGCCTCGGTACACGACCGCAGGCATGACTTTCCCACCCGTATCGCGGCGTCCCACAAACCTCGTTGTTGGTCGCGGCTGCTGCTGCTGCTGCTGTCGCTGAATCACGCTTTCTGACGTCCCCTCCTGTCGCCTAGATTTTGGAATGAACTTATAAAACTTTTTGTGTTCTACGCTAATCGCCATAACCGTCAGGGCTGGACCGCGGACGACTACGAGGTCGGAGCTAAGGGCAAGGCCGCGGCCTGCCTCGCCGGAAGAAGCGTGGCGGAGAAGTCCGACAACACTCATCGTGTCCGTGTTCCTGATGATGCCCAGGATGACTCCAAGGACAAGACGGTGGTAGACGCTGCCGCCGTTGTCGTTGTGCAGACTGCCACCGGCGTGGAGGGCGGTCTGGAAGACACAGATAGGACGAAGGCGGTTGTTGCGGAGTCGAAGGAAGGGAAAGGGGCAGGGGGGACAGCGGACAGGGAGAAGAGGGCAATTGTAGAATCCACGGATCAGGAGGTGTAGGGGCTCCGTAGGATATCCGCGACATTACTTCTACGGCGGCCACCTGTGTCCGAGTTTTTTCAGCTCGCTTTTCGGTATGCGAAAATTGCTCTGTTTTTTTTTGTTCCGCTAGACGAAGCCACGGGGGGGGGGTTCCTGATGACGGTATCACAACACCCTAAGTAGTTGGTTGGAAAAGAAGGGGGAAATGTGATCATCTATCCATTTTTGCGGCCGCCTCTGCTCTACCGGAGCAGCAGGAGTTCGCAGGCAGCGGGGGTGGGAGGGGCCGGAGGTGTTGCTTGGACATTGGGTTTGTGCACTCTCCGATGGTACCAGGATATCAGGCCGCCAATGGCGGCGGGGGTAGGGGGGGGGGGTTATGAAAGGGAAAGGGCTGCATTTGTGCTTTACGTGTGCGTGGTTAATAGACAAGTTGTGCCGTTGGGGCCTCAGGGAGACTTTCATGTTTACGCGATTGCTATCTAGGCGCGTCTAGTATGGAGGGAGCGGAGTGGCGGTGCTGTTGTGGGTCTCTCAAGCTGGCCGAGACGCTTGAGATGTTGGGGTGGAGGTTTCGTCGAGATTCTACGGCTATTGTGTGACGGTGGCTGTGAATTTTTCGCAGAGGTGCACCTGGTACAAGTTGCATGCCATCCTGCTTTTCTTGTTGTTCGATCCGTTATTTTACCTGTGAACATCGTCTATTGGGTGGCGAGGGGTGGGTAGACACATCGAAACCTTTTGTGGACAGACGGGCAATAGAACGTGTTCATGTTGGCGAGCCTTCCTTGTTCGCAACACGTGCCTGCCTCTCTACTACCAAGTTTTATACTGTAGTCTAGATATCGTGTTTTCCTTGGCGCACTCGGATGGTCCCTAACTCCTAACGGATGTTCTAAGCCCGGCTACAGTGTCTCCACTCTCCACGCACGTTTTCGGTTCGGGTAGAGTCGCCCTGAAGGTTTTCTCGTGGTTTCTTATGTCTTCTGAGCATGAGAACGGACAGGCAGCGAGGGTTGGTGCGAAGAGTATTGCGTGTGTTCTAGGATGTTTGCTGTTTATTGTGTGGTGTTCGTGGTTGAGTAGCCTTCTAGGGGGGGGGGGGGGGGG